GATTTATGTTCTGGGAAGCAATTATTTAATTGTGACCATAGCCTCAGGCATGCAGGAGTTACAGTGAATAACAGCAATTACACCAAAAGATGGTGAGGAGTAGGAGCCTTGTTTCCCCCATATTCTTCATCAGCCACTCCCCTGCCTCACCAAGCAAAGACAAATGTAAGCAAAACAAAAAACAGTATACTGGCTAGAAAATTTGCTTTGGACAAGCCTCCAATCCTCCCTGTCTCCCCTTCCAACTAGATTGCCTCTTCTTAACCCCTCCAATGTAGAAATTCTAGAGCAGGGGTCCTCAAACTTTTTAAACAGGGGGCCAGTTCACTGTCCCTCAGACCGTTGGAGGGCCGGACTGTAGTTTAAAAAAAGCTATGAACAAATTCCTATGCACACTGCACATCTTATTTTGAAGTAAAAAAACAAAACGGGAACAAATACAATATTTGTATTTGCATGTGGCCCGTGGGCTGTAGTTTGAGGACCCCTGTTCTAGAGCATCTTTTGCTGAAAACATTCAATGAGAGGAAATTGTGTTTTTTAAATTTATCTTTATTGTTGAAAGTATTACAGATGCGCTCTTTTTTCCCCCTATTGACCCTGTCCACTCCCCTTCCACCCCTATCGCAGGCCTTCACTGCACTATTGTCTGTCCAAGGGTTATGCATATCCTATATAATAAAAGGCTAATATGCAAATTGTCCCCACAGGCAGGAGTTTGACCAACTGGGAGTTAGACATGTGCTGACCACCAGGGGGCGGCACGGAACATGGTGGGCATCTGTGATGTGATGCTGGCAGCAGGCAGCAGTGGAGGTGCTGCCAGCCCCAATGGGCCCCGAGGAGAGTGGGACCGCGATGGGATGGTGGAGCAGGTGAGCAGGTGGCACCAGGCCAAGGCGGGTGCAAAGGGAGACCTCGGCTGGCGGTTGGCAGCCGGCAGCTGCTAGGGACCCTACCCATGCACAAATTTCATGCACTGGGCCTCTAGTACGCTTATAAATTCTTTGATTAATCTCTTCCTGGTCCCCCCACCCCAGGAAGTTGTTTTACTGGTGGTGAAATGTGTCACAGTTCTCAACTTTTTTTTTTTTTAGCACATAAATTGAAGAGTCACATAGATAATACATTATGGGCTACTACACTGATCAGATGCATGTAGGCATAGTTTCTGGTGCCCTAGGGTGCAGGAAACCATGAATTACATAACATAAAGTAGAATCTACAAGATTGATGACTGATTGAGTGTAAGAAGATAAGGACTCTTGGTTTCAGGATTGGACTCCTGGGTGAGTCCTGAAGTCAGTTATGGGGATGGGGAGCATGGACAAAGAACAGGTTTATTTTTGGGAAGGAGGAGAGTAGATGTAGATAATACTGAACATGTTGAGTTGGAAATGCAAGTGGGACACCCAAGCAATTGCATCTAGTTAATATGTAGTTAATGTGACTCTGGAAGTCAGAAGATCAGGAATGAAGATGTAAGTTTAGGAACTCTCAGCATATAGATGGAAAAAGATGAGCTCACCCGGCAAGCATGGGAAGGTAAACTAGGTTCCAGGCCTGGAAGGGGGAGGAAAGAACAGAAATAAGAGTTCAACTCCCTGGCAGCAACCTTGCACTTAAGCAGGTATTTCACAGCCTTCCTTTGAAGCCACTGTGTATCAGTCCCAACACAGCTTCTAGTGCTTTCTCTTCTCTCCTGCTTTCCCTTCTCTGAGTTGCCAGACTTTTCACCATTTGTTCACTCAGCTTACCAGACATCCTGCTTATGCTCTGCCTTCCTCTAACTGTTCATTCATGAAGCCATTTACTGAGCAACTGCCCTGTGCCAGGCACTGTACTCAGTCCTGACCATCCAGCAGTGACCAAAACTAAGTCCCTGCCTCAAAACATTTACATTCTAGTGAAGGAGAAGACACTCGGAAATAATAGACATATTGGGAAGAGATAAATGCTTTGAAGAAAAGGTAAGCAAGGTAAGGGAATGTTGAATGAGCAGGTGTTCTCATTTTATATTTATTGATTTTTAGAGAAAGAGGAAGGGAGAGAGGGAGAGAGAGAGAAAATGGCAACTTTTTGGTGCACAGGAGAAAACCCAACCAACTGAGCCGCACCGGCCAGGGCAAAGTATTCTTATTTTAAGTAGGACACTAAGGAAAGTCATCTCTGGAGGTGACATTTGAGCAGAATTCTGAATTGTGAAAGCTCTGGGAAAAGAAGGGGTGGCTGAAACAGAATGGGATGTAGGGTAACCCATGGGCTAAATCATGTATGTCTTTATAAGACAAAGTAAGGAGTCTGGCTTTTACTTTGTGTGGCATGAATTCATTGGGGAAGAGGAATACTGAGCGAGGAGGGACATGATTTAACTTAGATTTTAACAATATCCCTCTGGCTGCTGTGTTGAGAATAAACTATTGGGGGCAAGGACAGAAGTTGAGGGATATTTTAAGCCAGTGGTCAGCAAACCATGGCTCGCGAGCCACATGCGGCTCTTTGGCCCCTTGAGTGTGGCTCTTCCACAAAATACCACGTGCGGGCACACACATACAGTGCGATTGAAACTTCGAGGCCCATGTGCAGAAGTCAGTTTTCGGCCTGGGCGAGTCTATTTTGAAGAAGTGGTGTTAGAAGAAGTGGGGGGTGTCGGTCGGTCGGTCGGTGGGCAACGGGAGACGCAGCGCAGGCGGGCCGCGGGATATGCAATACAGGGGAGGCGCGCGAGATTCATGCAGGAGTTGAGTGAGCCAGTCAGTCAGCAGTCTCATTGTGCAGTGGTTAGTGCTAGTCGCGTCCGCAAATCGTGCGTGGGTGACAAAAATACCCACTTGAAGCATAAAGTTACCTGTATTTTTCCAACCAGCTGCAAATCCTACATTTTCAAGCATGAACCTTATCAAGAGTAAATTGAGAAGTCATCTTATTGATGAGAACCTGGAATCGTGCCTAAAATTAAAAACAACAACATACAAACCTGACTTACCCAAACTTTCCAAGGAGATGCAAGGCCATTGTTCACATTAGTGTTTGTCAGTCATTGTCATGATTTAATTTTATGGATATTGTAAGGTAAATTGTAAGGAATTTAATTTTATCAATAAATAATATCGTTATTAAGTATGATATCAAGTTTTATTCAACGTACCTATAGTTTAACGAAGACAAAACTTTAAGTAAAGTTTATTAAGTTAATTTTAGGGAACGTTGTGGAGTGAAAGATGTAGTGTCGAGGATTGAGAAAGGTATGTTGAGATGGTTTGGACATATAGAGAGGATGAACGAAAGGAGATAGACGAAACAAGTATACAAGACGAGTGTGGATGGGAGAGTTAGAAGGGGTCGACCTCAGCAAACGAACCTCAATCAGATTGAGGATGTTTTTAGCAAAGGCCAGCTTAGGAGTACCCTAATTAAGTTAATAACAATGTACCTACCTATATAGTTTAAGTTTAAAAAATTTGGCTCTCAAAAGAAATTTCAGTCGTTGTACTGTTGATATTTGGCTCTGTTGACTAATGAGTTTGCCGACCACTGTTTTAGGCCATTGCAATAATCCTGGCCAGAATAATGGTAGCATGTCACAGAGAAGTAGAGGTGGAGATGGTGAGAAGTGGTTAGATTAGATGGGCAGTTCTAAGCAAAAGTCCATTGGGGGAGAGTGAAAATTCAGGGTAATGGGGGCTTCTCACTGGCTGAATGTGGTAGTTTTCATTGGCTGGGCTGTTGCTGGATTAGGAGAAAAACCTTCTTTCCTCCTACTGGGGTAGCAAAATAAACTTCTTCATGACTAGATTTGTAAAGTAAGCTGTGATGGATGGTACCTTCCAGAGAGCTACATTTCAGGGCTTCCCCACTCCACTTTGAAAGAGGTTTCCTTTTATTCATTTTCACACCTCAATGGATTACAATAAAGGTTAGGTTTGGAGCCCTGACCAGTTTGGCTCAGTGGATAGAGCGTCCATAGGCCTGAGGACTGAAAGGTCCCAGGTTCAATTCCGGTCAAGGGCATGTACCTTGGTTGCAGGTACATCCCCAGTAGGAGGTGTGCAGGAGGCAGCTGATCGATGTTTCTCTCTCATCGATGTTTCTAACTCTCTCTCTCCCTTCCTCTCTGTAAAAAATCAATAATATATATATATATA